AGCGTGCCTTTAAGCAAGAAAGCCTAAAAACGTAAAATTTAGGTGAGAACGAACTTATGGGACACCCTGTACCTATAGCAGCCGATCTATAGGGTAGACCGGGGCAAGTCGCCCCGCCGAGGTAAAACGCCTCACCGATGTTTCTCGGAACTGGCAGGGTTCTGGGGAAACATCAGCTCTTCTATAAAACGTGCACTATATGATCATTATATGAGCAGACTGGAAAGAAATTGTGATGACTCTTTCGGGAGATATAGCCAAAAATGTGTTTTTTGAGTGATTTTTATGTTTTGTTGTCAGATTATGAATCATGGCGTTCTTTTATGGTCCACATTAGGTTAACGACTTTTATGTATTTTGAACAACTATTGTCTAACGCTTATCATGCTGGGTTGGTTCGTGTTAAATTATGTCTTACTGGAGTGCAAGGCGTTGTTCTCTGACCGAACTACGTGATGGGGTAAAACGCCCCAGTAGGTCGCGGGGCAAAAAGCCCCTGGGGCGTTTTACCTCTTGTGTTGTTGGGGCTACCCACTTTCTAATGTTCGGTAGCTGGCGAACAGTAAGTTTCTGTGCCTTTATGTGTATTTTTCTCAGCAACTGGATGGCAAAGGAAGTATTTTGTTAACATTTGCATTGCAATAATTTATTATTTGGTCTTATGAGGTAGGTGAAAAACCTGCTCATACAACAGTGTCATATGCTGAGCACCTGACAGGATGGAATGTGCTAACTTCAGTGCCGTGCCTCTAGAGGTCTAACGGACCTCTCACATAAGATATAGCCAACTACCATGTTAAATCTTTAATCTAAGGTATGGGGCTACTTGCCCCAGGCCGTGGGGCGTTTTGCCCTGGGGTTGGGGCAAAATGCCCCATTTGCAGTTGCTTTACAAATCACTTCCTAGCTTGGAGTCCGATCATAAGTGAATCAATTTGGGGGGTGCAATTTAAAGTAAAATGTCCAAAGAACGCATTGAGCACAAATTTGGCCTTTCAGGTGATGTGGGACAAAATTTATGTAGCAAAATAAATTATCTGGGGCGTCTTGCCCCAGGCTACCCTACCTCAGGAACTACTGGGCCGATCGTGACGAAAACACCACCGGTCGATTCAGCGTATGCTATTTCATCATCCGTTTTGGATATGGTGACCTGAGGTGACCTTGGTGACCTTGGGAGGTCATATGACCGTTGTGGCCTATCGCAACCATTCTATAACTCAAGAACTACTGGGCCGATCGCGACGATAACAACACCAGTAGAATCAGCGTATGCGATTTCATCAGCCGTTTTGAATATGGTGACCTCAGAAGACCTCGGTGACCTTGGGAGGTCACATGACCGTTGTGATGGCAGCCATTCTATAACTCATGAACTACTGGGCCGATCACGACGAAAGGACCACCAGTCGATTAAGCGTATGCTACTTCATCAGCCGTTTTGAATATGGTGACCTCAGGTGACCTCGGTGACCTTAGGAAATAGGAGGTCACATGACCGTTGTGGCCTATGGCAGCCATTCTATAACTCAGGAACTACTGGGCCGATTGCGAAGAAAACACCACCAGTCGATTAACCCGCGCGGGGCTGGGGGGGGGGGGTAAATTTTACCCCCCCTCGCGAATTTTTGCGATATCTCAAAAACGGCGGCGCGCAGCGCCGCCAAACTTTCAGTACCTTTTCTTACATCAATTTGACACGTTCCCTGAAAATTTGAGCGAAATCCGTCGGAAAATTTTTGAGAAATTGACGTTTTAGTGACGTCATGTTCGCCATTTTCGCCTCAAAAACGGCAAAAGTTCAAACGCCGCTAACATCTTCATTTTTAAAGGAATCAAGACGTAACAAAAAAGTTTATACGTAATTTTACTTTGTCTATCAAATGGCTATCTCGGATTTTTGAAAATTTTGGATTTTGGCCTAAATTTTTTCAAAAAACTGAATTTTTTGGGAAAATCATTATAAAATCCAAAATTTTGAGTCTATCGAAAAAACCGGAATATATGTCAGAGAAGTGGTCTATGTGCACCTACATACCAAATTTTAGAAGAATCAGTTCAAAAATGTGGGAGTTATTCAAAATTTTATGACGTCACGACACACAAAATTTTTGAAAAATGACTTTTTTGGAAGTTCTAGACCTCGTACGGAAACAAAAATAGCACCATTCGATTCGCCGTGAAAAACTGCATCAGAGAGACACCTTTTTAGGCCTTAACAACCAACTTCAAAATTTGACCTCACTTGACCTGACCTTGACCTGACCTCGACCTGAAATTCATCCAGAGGTGGTCCATATCACTTATTGAGTGTGCCTATTGAATTCTATGAGTAAAATGACCCATAAAACATGTGTCGCACATGCCCTTTTCTATATTTTGTTTTTTGGTGACCTGACCTGACCTGACCTGACCTTGACCTTGACCTCTGAATGATATTGTATGCAACGAATATTGTCTTGGTAGCCTAAGAACACGTTTTGGGCGATCAGTCTCAGTCCATGACTCCATTCTTCGGCAACTACGGTGCAAGGCCGATACTGTAGAAACTTGCAATTTGTACCCTTGACCTGACCTTGACCTTGACCTCAAACTTTAAATTAAGTACATGTTTTTAGTAGTTCGTGATGAGAGCTTTCGATTGGCGTTTGAATTTTCCAAATCGGACCATTAGTTTGGGAGATAACAGGGGGGGGGGGTAAAATTTACCCCCCCCCCCAGCCCCGCGCGTTCGGCTGGAGACCCCAGCCCCGCGCGGGTTAAGCGTATGCGATTTCATCAGCCGTTTTGAATATGGTGACCTCAGGTGACCTCGGTGACCTCAAAAGTTCAAAATTACGTTTTCGCCTTTTGCAGCCATTCTAGGTATAGGTAATTCAGGAACTACTGGGACGATCGTGACGAAAACAACACCAGTCGAATCAGCGTAAGTGCGATTTCATGTGCCGTCTCGAATACGGTGACCTCAGGTGACCTGCCATAGGCCACAACGGTCATGTGACCCCCAAGGTCACCAAGGTCACCTGAGGTCACCATTTTCGAAACAGCTGATGAAATTGCATACGCTGATTCGACTGGTGGTCTTTTCGTCGCAATCAGCCCAGTAGTTCCTGAGGTATAAAGTGGCTGCCATAGGCCACAACGGTCATGTGACCTCCCAAGTTCACCAAGGTCACCTGAGGTCACTATGTATATTCGAAACGGCTGATGAAATTGCATACGCTGATTCGACTGGTGGTCTTTTTTTGTCGCGATCGGCCCAGTAGTTCCTGAGTTATAGAATGGCTGCAATAGGCGAAAACGTAAAGCTGACCTTTTAAGGTCACCGAGGTCACATGAGGTCACCAAATTCGAAACACATGATGAAATCGCATACGCTGATTCGACTGGTCTTGTTTTCGTCGTGATTGACCCAGTAGTTCCTGAGTTATAGAATGGCTGCAATAGGCAAAAACGTAACGTTGACCTTTTGAGGTCACAGAGGATGCCAAGCTATTGCTTCTAAGTTCTAAATGATGTCGTAGGAACTTGGTAAGAACATAGGAGGTCCCAAAAAGTAAACAAAAGTAAAATTCTAATATCTTTGAAGCCAGTGATTATTTTTCAGTGAAATTTAATATACCTATATTTATTTTTTATCTTTCTGAACCGAAAGGTCACTTCTATGCTAGTTTGTTAACTTTCTGGCCCCTTTAATTCTTGGAATTATGTTGAAGCTTCGTGCATTTTTTTAGATTCTGGAGCTGGTCATTGGGGTCTTTGAACCCTTGATCGCCGAAATAGTATATAACAGGATAACGTAAGACATTCGAAATGACAGCCATTCAGGTGCGTCAGACTTGACGGTACTTACAAATTTTTACGCATCGCTCGAACCGGTGCGGCGGAGCTGAACTGGTCTCCTGCACCGGTGCGGCGGCGCTGAACTTCTCCTGCACCGCGGCGGCATTCCGTGAAAACTGGCTCGACGCGGCGCTTCCAGACCGGTGCTCCGGTGGCTTCGGAGGGCCCTCTGCGGAACTGCCGAGCACTGTGAGGCAGCCGTTCGCGGCCTCGCTCAGAGTCACGCGGACACCGCAGAACCGGTATACGGACTGCTTAGTTTCGGCTCGGACGGTCCACGAACGGCACGACCTGTCCACAAACGCCACGGCCGGCCGGCTGGACGGCTCGTCGCGAGTCCAATTGCTCGGACGGCAGGCTATTTCACAACATGGCAAGTAAACAATTACAATATGTGTGTGCACATATAATGTAGGTGGACGCATATAATGTCCTGGACTGCCGACGCCGGAATGCTGACCGGAGCCGGACTGGACTGCTGTCTGGAGCCGGACCGGACTGCTGACACCGTACTGCTGACCGGACTGGACTGCTGTCTGGAGCCGGACCGGACTGCTGACACTGTACTGCTGACCGGACTGCTGACCGGACTGGACTGCTGTCTGGAGCCGGACTGGACTGCTGACTGACGGCGGACCAAACGTCGAGGGTACGGACCGGTCGGAAGAGGTGATGACTGTTATTTTGCCCAGCACTAGCACAGCGCCAAGCGTCCAGCCGGCATCTTTTTTATTATTCATTTTTGTCATAAAACCAGAGGGCATAATTTATTTTTCAATGTGATTCTGTAATGCAGAAGACTTGAGATTGGAGGTCGTGCAGCAAAAACTGCTAGTTTATTTTTTTCACTATAGTTAGTGCAATGAATGGAACCAATGGATAAGGTTCGAGCTTTAACAGTCACTTGCTCGGGACTCAATGCCTGCATTTAGTAGACTATCTTTAGCTTGTTAAAGCCGTCAGCGCATGACTAGCCGGAGTTTACTGGTACAATGGAGCATTAGCAGTACATCGCGCTAAGTCTACAGTTTGCAGAAAACCGGGACCTCGCCGGGCACCAGCTCGCTGACACAATTTCCAACCAGCACTCCGGGTTTCGCGGCTCGAGCTGAAAGTCTCGTTTGTCTGTTGGACGCCCTCGTGCAGTCTCTATCCTGTGCCGCTCGAGTCCTGGCCGAAGTGTGCTGTTCAGTGCGCATTTAGTTCAGAGAGGGGAGCGCAGTGTCCTGAAGTCCACTTCAGTCGAGCCACAGGTAAAGGAGCTGTTTGGTAATTGTAGCTAGTTGACGTGCCGCAAAACATCTTACATCCGTGCTAATTAGCTTATTGTTTTTACTGCCGACCTATGTATATGCTCACAAGCCCACATCAACGTATTTCAGTTCTCTGTCCAATTAGCGTTTCTTGTGTGTCAAGTCAAACATCCCCGTTTTCGTTCAGCTGCCCAGTGTGTGCAGCGCACACTGCAATGGGAAAGAATAGTCACCGAGAGTAGGTGTAGCATGAGATGCAAATAATCTGAGATCCGATACGTATCATAACGTTCCACTTGTTGCGATCAGTGTCCTTTTTGTTATCCAGTTCGTGATTTATTACCGCTAATTTGCATGCCTTCTTAGGCGTTAACCCTCGCCGGCCGAGGGGGGGGCGGGTGCCGCCCCCCCCATAGGGTTTTTTCGCGATAGCTCCAAACACGCTGGCGATAGAGAGCTGAAACTTGGCATACCTGACCTTTGATTCAAGCCGGATCTTTTGATACCAATCGCATTTTCGGGTCAGGTCAGGTCACTGACCTATGACGTCATAAATGAACCTCTGCATGGTCTTCAGATGTCGCAACTTCGCAACGCCCTCACTGCCAGAGGAGCTTTCACAGGGGAAGGAAACTTGCAGGGTCTAATATCCATTACGAGTCTCACAACTTGTATATCTCGGATTTTTCCTAACGGTCATATGAGGTCAGGTCATTTCCGTGACCTCTATAAGTTAATGGGGAAAAATGAAAACTGCTATTCTGGCGCCGGGAACGATCTCCAACTATCTCAAGCTAACAGAACCGTGATTTGGTGCACTCCTTGCAAGGTTAGATGCGTCACTTTTGCAATGTTGACCTTGCGTGACGTCATTTATGACGTCATTAAGGTCATATTCGTTTTTCGTCAATAACTCCCGATCAAATTAAGCTAGCGAGTCGGGAAGGCCACCAATGGACTCAGGAAGACCTGCCGAATCGAATGATATGCGACCTGTTTTACTTCGACCAATTTCGTGACCTGGGGGTGCTGACCTGACCGTGACCTGAGGTCAACACCCTAAGTTGACCTCACCCAAATAAAAAGTATATCATTCGACGCGCCTGAGCGAGGCAAACACGATGCTGCCAAAACCGCGGCTCTGCGGCCGTTTTTTGCGGCGTTATTCACCAAAAACGGAACCATACCTTGGGCCACTTGACCTGACCTCAGAGGTCACCGGTTGACCTAGGAGCTTAAAATCGGGTATCAATCTCTGCGTCTCGTAACGGCGCACACGCTCGTTTTTTCGCGACGCGCTAGCTCCACCAGGGGCGAAACGGCGAGGGGGGGGGTTGTACCAGCCCATCCTTGGCCGGCGCGTATGTAGAAAACCAATAGGTCCGGCGAGGATTAACAGTTTCGATAGGTACCTAATGAACATGAACGTAATAAAATGCGTCACTAAGAGCTAATCAGTGTCTGGTGTTCTAATTATGAACGTGAGTAATCATCTTTTTATCTATACCAGTGTCATATATGCAGTTGTTGTGATGTAAACACACCCCTGACTGACTGCAATTGTAGGTAGGTATTGTTCTGTACTGTATTTACTTAGGCCATTCTGTTATGCCATTCATTCTGAGCGAGGAGCGTCCAATGTTGAATTAGTGCGGAAACGTGCATAAGAAAGTAAATGCGCGTTACAATTTTTAAACAGGCTCTGTATTGTGTTTCATATCCAAATTCCTTTGCATTGTATCCTTACTTTGCTCATTTATATGAGGTGAGTGTTTCAACACAATATCTGGCCACATAATCAGCAGACTAGCTATCAGTGAAAATTCCTGACCTCTTTCACCAGAGGTCAGTGAAAACCGGGGAACTCACCAAGCGCTGCCTGAATCGGCTCCAAATATGGCGCAGTGCGTCAGTTCCTGGCACACTGTAAACCAAATTGACAAGTCTTGTGTAATATAACCAATCATCTCTTAGTATGTTTACCAACTGATACTTTTTAAACAAGCCGTTGTCTGGTGCATTGCTTGTTAGGTGATAACTACGAGTCAATAGTTACTATGCACACCAACTTCTCAGTATCCAGACCAACTCTACATTTGTTTCAACGTTTGTTTCTTAACCAGTTTTGGAAACTTGTTGCCGCATGGTTATTTAACCGGCGCCTAACTTGTACTGGTCAGCTGGTCAGCATACACATGGTCAGCTGCGCCTGACGTCAGACTTAACGGACCAATCAGCGGTCGCCGCCGGCCGTTAGCGGGCCCCGGCGCGGCGGTTTCGAACCAGCAGTTGTCGCGCGGCCGCCGTGCAGCCTGGAGCAGCGACGAGGGCTGTTCCAGCATTTGTGCAGTAAAAAGTGAAATCTGTGAACTGTGGTGTTCGTGCTGTGAGTGAGGCCCCCTCTGGCCTGCGGGACGCACTAATCGTGTCTATACCCGCGGTCGGACGCCTCCCTTCCCCTGCGCGCGCAATGTAAGTGGGCCAGACCTGTGCATGCACATGTGAGCAGATGTTTTGCAGTCGGTGTTTTTTTATATATAAATACATTTATTTGCCTTTAATTCAACTCTTTGTATTTTTAACTTAACTGATGGACATTTATGGGCTGTAAAAGCTAATCTGGTTGGCGATCATGATTTATTCGAATTATCTGCGTGATCGTGCAACTGCCATGATTGTTATGGTCAATGTTCAGGAAATATTCGTCATACGGGCATGCGATACTTCTGGCTTGATGCCAGGGGCGGATCCAAGGAGGGGGGGGGGGTCACATGGGTCATGCCCCCCCCCCTTGAGGCCCGGGGGCCCAAAGACCTTCCAGGGGCACCACCGGCCTATCAGGGGTATCACAGTCCTGACAGGGGCACCACAGGACCGCCAGGGGCACCACAGGCCTAGCAGGGACACCACGGGCCTGGTGCCCCTGGGCCCTGACAGGACTGTAACGCCCCTGACAAGCCTGAAGTGTCCCCGGCAGGCACGTGGTGCCCCTGACAGGCCTGAGGCGCCCCTGCAAGGCCGGTGGTGCCCCTGGCAGGCCTGTGGTGTCCATGGCAGGCCTGTGGTGCCCTTGCTAGGCCTCTGGTGCCCCTGACAGGCTTGTAATGCCCCTGGAAGGACTGTGGTGCCCCTGGGCCCTGACAAGCCTGAGGTGCCCCTGACAGGCCAGAGGTGCCCTTGCTAGGCCTGTGGTGCCCCTGACAGGCCTCTGGTGCCCCTGACAGGCTTGCGGTGCCCTTGGAAGGACTGTGGTGTCCCTGGGCCCTGACAAGCCTGAGGTGCCCCTGACAGGCCCGTGGTGCCCTTGTTAGGCCTGTGGTGCCCCTGGCAGGCCTCTGGTGCCCTTGCTAGGCCGCTGGTGCCCCTGGCAGGCCTCTGGTGCCCTTGCTAGGCCGCTGGTGCCCCTGGCAGGCCTCTGGTGCCCCTGCGCCCGGAGAGGACTGGTGCCCCTGAAAAGTCTGAAGTGCCCCTCGGCAGGCCCGTCGTGCCCCTGACAGGCCCAAGGTGCCCCTGCGAGGCCGGCGGTGCCCCTGGCAGGCCTCTGGTGCCCCTGGCAGGTCTGTGGTGCCCCTGGCAGGTCTGTGGCGCCCCTGGCAGACCTGTGTTGACTGGTGCCCCTGCTAGGTCGCTGGTGCCCCTCACAGACCTGTGGTGCCGCTGGGCATTGACAAGCCTGAGATGCCTGGCTATGACAGGCTCGTGGTGCCCCTGATAGACCAGTGGTGCCCTTGCTAGGCCTGTAGTGCCCCTGGCAGGCCTCTGGTGCCCCTGCTACCCCTGCGCCCTGAGAGGACTATGGTGCCCCTGAAAAGCCTGAAGTGCCTCTCGACAGGCCCGTGGTGCCCCTGGGCCCTGACAGGCCCAAGCTACCCCTGCGAGGTCGGTGGTGCTCCTGGCAGGCCTCTGGTGCCCCTGGCAGGTCTGTGGTGCCCCTGGCAGGCCTGTGTTGACTGGTGCCCCTGCTAGGCCGCTGGTGCCCCTCACAGGCCTGCGGTGCCCCTGACAGGCCTGTCGTGTATACTTGCTAGACCTGTGGTGCCCCTGCTTCCTGGCAGGCCTGTGGTGCCCCTGGCGGGCCTGTGGCGCCCCTACAAGGCCGTAGGTGCCCCTGACAGGTTTGTGGTGTCCCTGGAAGGACTTTGGTGCCCCTGACAAGCCTGAAGTGTCAAGGACAGACCCTTTAGACGCCAGGGTCAAGTTCGTCGGACTGACAACGATTTGCTTACCTGATAAAGTCCCTGGTAAGTACTCATTACTCAGCGTCCACAACATATATACACATAGCACATTCATATATACTTGCTTACAATTGGTAAATGTGGTTGTGGCTAAGAGGTAAGATACTGACTAAAAATAAAAAATAAAAATAAAAAACTGAAAATGGGGGCACCACCAAAATGAAGTGGACGAAATCCGTTGAGTTTTTAATTTTGGGTATAGGTAGGGGCACCATTTCGATTCATGACCCTCCCCTTGGAGTTTTCCTGGATCCGCCCCTGCTTGATGCGGTGCACAAAACACTTCAAAACACTTTGTGCACCACTTCCAGCCAAAAAATAACCTGTCCGTATAGAAAATATTTCCTGAATCAGTATCGTGGCAATTGAAAACGAACGCGAATCGTAAGTTCTTAAGGTTATCAACGCATTCAAAGCGATTGTAAGGAAGAACAATTTCGAACAGAGCGTTAGTACACTTACTTGTTGACAATTTGTAAACTAGCAATGCCCAGGCAAAGGCTAGTTCATCAACAAACCAGGGTTTGGTGAACCGACAAGGAAACGACTATGCCTATCCAGAAGTTGGTAGGTCCACAAGGCCCAGACTAGTACTCAACAAGGTGACGCCTATGCGAATTGGAACCAAACTTGTAGACAAACTGTTAGTTTGTTGGCCAACAAGCCTGGGGTTGGTGAATCGACAAGGTATCGACAAGGTGACGCCTATGCGAATTGGAACCAAACTTGTAGACAAGCTGTTAGTTTGTTGGCCAACAAGCCTGGGATTGGTGAATCGACAAGGTATCGACAAGGTGACACCTATGCGAATTGGAACCAAACTTGTAACAAGGAGCCAGCTTGTAGATTTGGTTTACAGTGCATCAGTAATCCATCGCAGCTGGAAATACCGGCTGATCGCTCGCAAACCTGTTATGTGCTCAAGGCACGAGCGTAAAATTCCACAAGACGCGGAAATGTTCGCTGTGCGGCGACTGGTGCTCATCTCTTGGCTCATCTGTCCCAATTTGGCGAGCCTTTGTCCATGAGGTCATTTATCCCCCATTATACCCGGGTCACACGCTGCTTTGTTTGTAGCGTAACCACACGTTGCATCCGGCGTTCATCTGCCCGCTGCACTATCCGTCTCTCTGTCGTCAGTTCAGCCATGTCCTGCGCCCCTCTGACCACTCTGTCCGCCTCTGTCGTCAGGTCAGCGATGCCCCGCGCCCCTCTGACCTCCCTGTCCGCCTCTATCTCCAGGTCAGCGATGTCCCGCGCCCCGCTGGCCGCGGTGCTGGCCGTCTGTCTGCTGGCCTGCTCTGCGGACGGCAGCGAGCCCTGCACAGCCGTCTCCTGCCCGCCGGGCCAGTTCTGTTTCCGCGGCTCGTGTGTGCCGCTAATGGTGCACGGCCGCTCCAAGCCCCACCCACACCACAGCGGAGCCGGCCCGGCCGCCGCCGCCGCGCCCACACTGCCCCTGCTGCCGCTGCTGGCCGCCACGCTGCTGGGACGACACCGGGTCTGAGACAGGGTCTGAGACTGGGTCTGAGACAGGGCCTGAGACAGGGTCTGAGGCAGGGTCTGAGGCATGGGGTCTGTCGGATGGGCTGAGCTGGACCGGGTCCACCTGCTGTAGGCCGCGACCGGGTCTGAGGCAGGGTCTGAGATAGGGTCTGAGGCGGGGTCTTACGACTGCGCTGAGATCAGAGCAGGATGGGCCGTGGGACAAGACATATTCGGCTGGCTGAGCTAAGACCGGACAGGCCGACTGGGTTTGCAAGCTGGACATTGGATACTGCACGCCGGTCTGAGATTGTGACCGGGTCGGTCGGATGAGCTGAGGGCAATGACAGTCGACCGACTGGACTACGGACTGGAACCGGGTCTGCCGGCTGCACTGAGGATTGGAACCGGGTCTACAATATGGGCGGCTGAGGACTGGAAATGGGTCAGCCAGCTGGGCTGAGGACTGGGAATGGGTCAGCCGGCTGGGCTGAGGGGTCCTCCGTGATGGCCAGAGGTGGAGGCAAATGCGGCCTGTGCTCAGAGACATTGTAAACTGTACCTGTTATGTCAGATGTCGGTATGTGAGATCGTCTGTGATGATTACAAAGTAGCTGTGGTCGTGACTAATGCTCTTCTTGAGCGGTGTTTGTTTTTACAATTTTGTTGACGTTTACTTTCGCATCGCAATTATTGATAAGTTATAAGAGGTAACCGCTCTCTAAATAAATGTACGATATTAAAAATAATTGTCTGATGCCTGATGCAGCACAAAACACTCCAGTGACAGCTAGATGCAAAGACATATGTATTGGACCGAAGGACAGAAAACGTGATCGTACTATATGTAACATCAGACAAGAGGGGGCAGATCAAATGTCCTGATGCGTATATCGGCTCACCACGACGCACACCTTTTGTTTTCTTCTTATTTACCAACTACTCGGATATAAGGTCGGCCTGAATGTTTAACAGTTGTATTGTCAAATTTCAAACTTACTTCAATTTGTTCATACACTGATGTATGTAGAACAAAATATTATTCGTCTTGCAAAGAATCGTAGAAAGAAGGTAAAACCATGGCGTTAACCCATTCACGAAGTAGCGTAAATTGTTGGCAGTTATCCCCAACATATCACTATTTGCTCATTATCAAAAGGAAAAAAGTTTGCCTTGGATACTGTCTTGGATAGCTAAGTCAATGCGCAACCAGCAGGCAAGCTCACCTACATAATATACAGATTCCAATGCATGCTGTGAATAAGGACTTCGAGTACGCCTACTGTCTTCGAAAAGGGACGATTGTACAACATAAAATGCCCCATTATATATTCTTTTCAAAACCATCGATAAGTAGAGACTACTACAGGGACAAAGATAAATCGTGAAATCAAACGGTGCTCAATCACTAAGACAAATTAAGCTCGCCCACAGAAAACGGACGCCCCTAAAGCACCTCGAACATCCATCAGTCTAACAAGTCACCCTGTTCTTGCCCTCTCAGTGACCAACAACCAACGGTCCCAACTGCTGCACTGGCTTTCCAGACCCCTGCCTCACATCTCTGTACTCCACATAGAGGCCTTGCCAACTCTCTGTTCCTCAGAGCAGGCGGAGGGCGGCAGCGAGGGCAGTCACAGCCAGCAGTGCCGCGCCCAGGGACCCGGCCCCGGAGCCGGCGCCCGCCTGAGGCGGGAAGCTGCTGCCCGCGTGCGCCGAGTCCGTCTTGAAGCGCGAGTCGATCTTGATGCACGAGGACTTGAAGCTGAGCCCGTCGGCGACCGGCATACAGATTTCGTCGGAGCCACAGGGGTTGTCGGAGCAGGCCTGCGCGCTGCACGCGGCCACCAGAGCCAGCAGGAGCACCACGGAAGATACACGGAGCGACATGTTAAAACTGCAGGAGCAGACAGGGAGAGGCTCGTCAGACACACGGAGTGTCGAGATGAAACTGTGAGTGCACGCAGGTAGGGATTGTCAGACAATCCCTACCTGCGACAATCCCTAACAATGAAAGGGACAGGGATGTGACCGTCAGACGACACACTACAGGACTACAGAAGACACACGGAACGACGAGATAAAACTGGCCTAGAGGCAGAGAGTTTGACAACTACTAGTGCCTAGTGAATGGGACCGTCGTTCGCAGACAGGTATACCGTAAAATTATCAACCAATGTGATTTTCTGAAATGCTTGCAACGGAATAATAACTATACTCTGCTCAGTGGGAAAGTACACAGTCTCACACAGGAAACTGGTTTTACTCTGATTCAGGAAGCAGGAAGTACGCGGTTCTGCCGTCCAGTGACGCTGCGGCGATTGTTGCACCAGTCATCACGACAGGATATGACGCATACCTACACAAAGCGATCGGGAAACGGTGAGGTGCACAGCCGTTTATATGAACAAAGGGCTAGTAGGACCTACTTATATTTATATTTATATTTATAGTTTATACGGATACGTCATAGATATGTCGACATAATATGACATGAATTATCAGACGAGTGACCCTGCAATTCTTGCGACGGCCTAATTTTGACAATGTGGCGACATTATAAGGAGTAAGGGCCCAGGAGCCACACCGCGCCAAACATAATATAACACATTTCCATGATGGGTGTGCTAAATCCTTGCTGTGATAATGGAAAAAACTGCGAGGTTCTAGCCCATTCAAGGTCTGATCAGTTCATCTAATGACGTTTTTACTATTCAGATGCCTCTAATTTCTTATCGAAATTACCTATATGTACTTTATTTACTCAATAACAAATGTCATTAAAATCCGCTAAGTTCCGGGAGAACTAATATATATGGTTTTGGTTATAACTTATAAGTATCTACCTAGTACTGTTGCAATCGGACCTTCTATTGAGCATTGTTGTAGTTATTTTTTTTTTGGCCTGATTATAATCACATTCATGGTTGGTTAATCAAATATTGAAAGCCGTCTCTAAACAATTAAATTAATTGAAATCATAGGCGCGGGAGCCGGGGGGGCAGTGGGGGCAGCTTGCCCCCCAACTCTGGGGCCGTGGGGGCGGTGCCCCCACAGCTTTGAGACGGAATACCACACTTTTTGCAAATGTTTTCTTTTTTTTGTTGAAAAAGCCGAGGGGTGAAAAATAAGTGGCCTAAAACCGGTGAGAAAACTAGCTTTGTGGGTACCCTAGGCTAATCTCTATTATGGTGTGCCCCCCCCCCCCCAGTCGGAAAGTAGTTCCCGCGCCCCTGATTGAAATTTTCATTAAATAGTAAAACTGTGACTGGTTGGCACAGTTTTCGAGTCGAGTAACGAATACAAAGTATGTACACGGAGTTGATATTGCGTATTCGTAAAACAACTATTGCATGTCGAAGGAATTAAATGCATGTTCCGATAATATTGCACTATACCATTCTAAATTCACTATGTAACGAAAACAAAATGGGTAAGTATCTAGTCCTACAGTGTTTTGGCAATAGAAAATTACAATAATTGACATTGATGCTCGAATTGTTAGAAAGAAATGTGTCGAATAGCATTGGCACTCGGCTTCCCCCACGTAAAGAGCTGGAACCAGTTCGGTACCACTTTCTAGAACTTTAAGACATTGAAAGGTACGCTCAAATATCACAAAAGGGAAGGTAAACAATACATGATCGGATATTGCATGCATTTTGGTTATCTAGCATATCATTGCCGCGAGTGCTCTGTTACAATCAGATTATTAAGTTCAGAAGCGGCTAGATCACGCCCGTGTTCACCTGTTTGCAGGGCTTTTGTGGACGGCCTTCTATCACAGTGACTTGGTGCAAACTGCGCCGGCAGTGAGGCGGTGCGGCAGCGGCTCGGCGTCACCGTCAGAGGCGGAACCAGGCGCCAGCAGCACTTCCAGGAAGGCGGACTGATACCTCGCCGACGAGCTGTGAGCGGCCGCGGCCGAAACTCGGCCGCTGGCTTACAGAACGTAGTCAGTTAACTCTTCCACCAATTAGAGCCGATCTGCCGCCCCTTTTGACGTCCTGGGATCGCCTCTGCGCGATTGAAAGATTACCTGGAACACAAAGGCGAAGGATTTTCCGTGCCGACTACGTCATGTCCAGAGTGAGCTGCCACTCACGTGGACAGGGGTTTGTCAGAGGCAGACTGAGACTTCCCGGCAGGGGAGGAGCAAGACACAGTCTCGGCATTTTCCGTGCTTATCTTCCTATAGGTAAGTGCCTATAACTTGCTTGCTGCTTACTGTTGCTCACTGTTACGAATACCAAATCAAATCACTACCGCAGAGCTGTATTGAAGGACGAGTTATGCGCATTTCTGTCTAGTGGACCCCTGGTTTCGTCCGTGAACCGTCGCGGCCGCCAATGGGCCCAGGCCGTCCAGGTGTGGCGCCTGACGCCGCCCTCGCGCGACAAACACTCCCTGGGCCGGTCCCCGCCTGCCTTGTTTGTCGAGTGGAACGGGCAGGCAGGTTTGCCCCGATGGCGCAGTGGCCAGACCTGCCGGCTCATGGCTCTGATGAACACAGCGAGACAGCCCCGAGCCCCGGCACACAACATGGTAAACAGATGGAGGAAAACCGGGAGCCCAAGTGCGCTTAGTAGCTCAGAGGAAAGGTTGTGATCGTGAACGATGGCGCAAAACCCAAGTGATGCATGCCTGCTACCGCGATTGTTTCTGTTTTAGGTCTTGCTGGCTGCTGGCGGCCCGCAAAGCTGTGATCATCCCGAGCCATGCGGCGCAGCATGCTTTCAGGCGCTACATGCTAGTGTCATCTAGCGGCGATAAAATAAACTATAAGCAGCATCCCCGTGCCGGGCGTGAGCGTCGATCGCAAACCTCAGTTTACGACTGTTTTACTCGTGATGAGTGGACTCAGTGGTGGGTTTTATGGCGCATAAATACAGCAAGCATGCACAGTTGAACGCGTGTGGATAATGAAATGACTAATTGTGGATAATGAAATGACTAGGTAATCGAATACGATATGTCTTTACCCCTTACCAATCCGTAGCAACTAATTGTACAACACTCAGTCAAACCCAAGGGTCGGGTAGGTACCACCCGCGCACCGACGGGGGTCTGCGCCAACTTCGCACCGACGGGGGGGGGGGGCGGATGACCGCCCCCCCCCCCGAGATCTCGAGAACGAAGCAAGATAGCGACAAGCGGTAAACGGCATCGGATACGGACGGCCAAGATCTACAATTTTTACTTAGGTCATTTTCAGGTCAGGTCAAAGATGACGTCACAGGTGTCGAAAAAGTCAAAATGGCGGCGCTAGATATGGAGAGAGTTTTTCTCGAATAACTTTCGAATTAGTCAAGATAGGAACAAACTAAGGGCATCATCGTGATCCTCTCGTCAATCCGCATCGAATGATATATATGTTGACCTCGAAAGGTCAAGGTCAAAGGTTGACCTCAGGTCACGTGACCTCGAGGTCATCATGTATATCATTCGATGCGTCTTGACGAGCTGAACACAATGAGACCATCCACGCGTCTGTATCTTGTTCCTGTACAAAGTTATTGGCCAAAAACCTTTGGTGACCTTTGATGACGTCACATGACCTCACAGCTGCCCAACAGCAAAACAGACCTCAAGGTGGTGAAGGTTGATCGTATATGAAGTCATGTATGGTATATGGGGCCATTCCGACCCGTTTTAGTGGTAAAAACAGGGAGTTGATTTTTCCCCCATTGACATAATTATAATGGGGAGGTCGCGAAATTGACCTGACCTTAGGTGACCGATATCAAAATTCCGAGATATACAAATTGTAGCTACTAATGACCTTATAATATCCTGCGACTTTCAAAGGCCTCCGACATCTACTGTAGCTCTGGCACGGTGACAAAGTTGCAAAAAAGTGACTTGAGGTTGGGTCATTCAAAGTGACCTGGTGACCTGACCTTAAAAGGTAGGAGGTTCAAACTTGCACACCATGTGTAAAATTGATGAGGTTATAGTCATACCAAATTTCGCGGCGCTACGCGCCGCGGTTTTCCCGCTATTGGCGAAAAACCTCAGGGGGGGCGGATATCCGCCCCCCCCGTCGGTGCGCGGGTTAAATCGTAATATGCGTGGCGGTTTCTTGAATCATTTTCTGATTTCAAGCAAATGCAAATGCACGTAATTCAGACAAGGAAACTTCTTTGGGTACACTCGGGGGCAGATTGATGTTCTACAACTCTTTATCCACCGGGTTCCTATGGCTCAGCATTGGCAGCAGCCGCCTGGTACCGGTAGACTGTGCCGCTTCACTTACTTGTCAAGCGGCACAGCCTACCCACACCGTATGCCACCGGTCTGGGTCGGTGGCTGGAAGGCGATGTGGGCCGCCTGTGACGTCAGCGCAGCGGTGAGGGCCGAGCCCGGAGGCATGGCTCGGGTCGGCGCGGCGTGGCGGCTGGCGAGGGCTGGGGAGTGAGGTGGGGTGGGAGCACGGACCATCGCGCGGCTGAGCGAGTGTAGTTAACTTTCGCGTCTCAAGGCGCCAATTATTCTACCTAACAATTGTGCTAAAGCAGTTGTTAAGATGTCCTATCCCCAAGACAGCGCCTATCATCATACTTGCCATGCACATTACGACACACTTAAACGTGGCATTGGGACAGCCGATAGAATTTATATCACACGCGCATCGAGTTACCGAGCTACATTGTTTTTAACAGATAAGTATTAAGGCCTTGATTGAGCTCATTGGTGTCTATTATTTCGCACAGCAATCGTCCAGAGACGTGGGAACTGGGGTTTTTCGATAGCGCGGCGTCCCAACTTTAAGCAACTCTTACTGTTCCTCTAATGTGTGGTCGCAGCCACCAATAGCAAACAGGGCATATTTTAAGGATTTTTCACTGCGTCCCAAAGGTGGCATAGGGCACATGCTTTGATCGGAAAGGGCACATTGCAAGCGAAATAGTATATAATGCAAGTGAGATAATGTACAGATACATTGTGTACTGTGCTGGTGGAGGGGCACTGCAAGCGGGATATTAGGAGCGGGCTGTGATTGCTTTTGGCCAGTCTCGAAATTCGCCCAGTCGTAGTGCGTTCTTTACCCGCATTCAAAGGGCGGACCAGCGATTTAATGACATCTACATTGTTGTTAGTCACTCGTTTTCCTGAACGGCGTTGGGCGTTTTTGACCTCCCTTGACGCACCAAATTGTACCTATGCTTAGAGAATAAAAATGAATATGCACATGATTAAAATGTGATACATACGTCTCTTCATGCGTTTTTCACCCTTATCAATCGATTCAAAATAGAGGTTGACGTGTGAAACATTGCCAATTTGCATTGAAGATACTATGTGTTTGAAATAATTAGATGACGTAAGGTCAAACAGTACCCACCTAAGTTGTGACAAGAAATCATCGGATTTTAAAGCTACATAAAAATCCATCATAGATTAATGCTTTGGATGGACGGATGCTTTGGATGCTTCGGATTTCGCTTCCTTACTGCCTATCATGTAATATAACCCAAACTTTTCCCAATGGAAGTTCCAATGTTTAATTATTATGCCCAGAAATGTGTCGATTTTGTGCCATTTCCGGGCGCTTTGGGGGGGGGGGGAGCATGGCCCCGTGGCCCCCTCTATATCCTCCTATGGCGACGGCCATGACGGCTCTGATCTGACCGTGTGCCATCAAATGTAAAGCTTCGCAATGATGCGATATTTTTTCGGAAAACGTGCCGGTATCTAAAAAAACTATGATAGCTAGGAGGGCGCAATCGATAGGAGAAAAGCAATCGATATATCTTGAACAGCTCTTTCGTCAATATTTCGTCAGAATTGAGTTCAGATCAACGGTTAAGGCTCCATAGCCAAAAAAAAAAAACGGGTGAAATTACAATTTTTGTCAATATAGGTTTCATGAAAAGCTTTTGAACTAAAAAAAGGTAGATAATTTTCGTTTGCACGATCGTTCTTCTCTCAATTTTACCTCGAAATGTCAAGGTCAGAACTTGACCTCACATTAAGGTCATTTCGTGACCAAGATAGATCATGGTCACGATAGATCGATAGATCTATCGTGATAGATCTATCGTGATAGATCGATAGATAGATCATGTCGATGCGTTTCGATGAGGTACCTCAAAACAATGATACAATCCACTGTGCATGCAAAAGCCCTGTAGGGCCTGATTTTCGGACGGCTCCGGGCCTGCGGGCTCCAACTTGACATCGCTAAACAGGACTTCAGGGAAGGGCAGGACACAGAGTCTGAGCCCTAAGGACAGGGCAGGCACAGGCCATGAAGCTAAGATAAGACGGATACTTGAGGGCTGGGTAGGATGCAGGGTCCGAGGGCAAGGCAAGGCGCGGGACTGAGGCTATCATTACACAAGGTCGGAAAGTAGTGCAAGACACAGGGCCTTAGAACACCTGATGATCAACACACCTGATGGCAGGGCAACACACAGGATCTTAGAGCAGGGCAAGAAATAGTACCTAAGGGTAGAGCAAGACATAAGACACAGGTATGGCACAAGGCCCGAAACACCGCCCACGTCTTGTCATACCTTCGAGCCCCGAAGGTATGACAAGACGTGGGCGGTGACAAGACGTGGGCTTCGGGCCCCGAAGGTATGACAAGACGTGGGCGGTGTTTCACGGACCCTGCTATCAAATTCCGCGAGCTGACGTCATACTTGTGGTAGTGTTTGAGCAATGGGCCTGTTGATGTCTCCATGGAAACCCAATTTGACACGTGTAATAGCAGCGTGCTGCTATCACCGGTGAAACAGGGCCAGGGTATGGGGCCTGAGGGCAGGGCAAGGCTCAGGGCATGAAGGCAGAACAAAGCACGGGTTCTGAGGACAGGTAAGGGCACGGGGCATGAGGACGGGAAACGGCACGGGACCTGAGGGCGGGAGACACCACAGGGCCTGATGACAGGGCAGGGCACAGCGCCTGAGAGCGGGCATGGGACACGAGACCTTAGGGCAATGCAGAATACAGGGCTTGAGGGCAGAGTAGGACACAGGGTCTGATGGCATGGGACGGCACAAGGCCTGACGACAGGGCAGAGCACAGCAACTT